CTCTTATCTCGGTTCCTTTCCATGGGTTGTTGTTTCCATGGGTTTCCTTTCCATGGGTTGTTGTATCTGCTGACGGTGGATGCAGTTAACGAAACGTATTCTAGTTCGTGAAACCTGACAGCGTCGTGCATCCGCCTTTTCAGTCTCTGTTTCTTAATGCAAGAGAGCGTGCGTGCAATGAATTCCTGCATGGGGCAGTGGGTTAGACCAGATGACCTCCGGGGACCGTTCTCATCCTTCCAGTCCACGAGCGAACTCTTGACACGATTGTGCAAAATGCAGTCACAGTCCAGAAAGTCCATTTAGGACTCTTCCAACGCCAACCTCTGCAGGGGTGGATGTGAATAGATCAGGCAGAGTACATCGTACATTTTTCATCACCGCCTTTTATTTTGATTTTATTTCAGCCCAAAGGCGCTGGCAGACGCTGCTTAGATTGCTCCATTGAACCAAACTGCCCGTATTCTGCTCGGAAGATCTATCTGGAGCGAGCGGAACAGGTAAGGTTAAGTAAGTTCAGCTCTCCCATTTCTTTATTTCCATCCTCAAGAAACTCAGTTTCCTAAAACCTAAAAATTGCCCCCGCCTGCCGTTTCGTGGATCTGGAGTTGGCTTCGCTCCTGAAAAATCCCAACCTGGTTTCTCGGGTGGCCGGCTGAGAGTAAGGTGTGAACTCCGTTACAACATGTAAAATGTCCCTTTATTTCCCTCTTAGTTGTATTTCTTTCACTTTTGGGTTAAAGCAGTTTTCCCCTTTTTGTAATTGAACACTTTGAAAAAATAAAAAAACAAAAGTGTGTAAAATGGCGTGCAAGCCGTTGTTAGGAAGGACGATTGATGGCTTGCTGCGTGGAATCATCTTCCCAGACAAACTATAGTTAAAGCAATGGCTTTGAACGAGGTATGAACCCAACTCTTGAGAGCTTATAAATCATACTTCGGGCGTGCTGCGTATGGACCAGGCTAATTGTGTTAACTTCGGTGTGGTAACCTTAATATTTTCGTGGCTTAGGTGAGCGTGCAAATGCAGTCTGATTAGATAGCATCTAGTTCAATCTAGATCAGGGATTTTCAAACTTGGCAACTTTAAGATGGGTGGACTTCAACTCCCAGAATTCCCCAGCCAGCATCTTAAGTCCACACATCTTAAAGTTTCCAGGTTGGAAAAACCCTGATCTAGATGGGTTAATTTAATTTAATTTAATTTAATTTAATTTAATTTAATTTAAGTAACCAGCTTGTTTTGCACACTTGGGCCGCTGCAGCTTAGTCTACACATCTTAAAGTCCACACATCTTAAAGTTTCTGGGTTTGAAAAACCCTGATCTAGATGGGTTAATTTAATTTAATTTAATTAATTAATTAAATTTAATTTTAGTAACCAGGTTGCTTAGTGCAAGTGTGTAAATTCAGCATGGAGCCTTAAAAAAAGGGTTCAGATCTCCTTTTACACCATCCGCTGTTGGAAACAGGATGCCGCGACCACGTTGATTTCAACTGATCTTGCAGCAAGACGAATTCATTTCACCCTAGGGCTCTTTTAACTGGCCAGTGTCGGTGGTCTGCAGCAACGGTGGGCCCGACATAGAAACCCTGATGGAAGCCTTGCACTTTGGCCCGTACGGAAGGTGTGTTTACGATTGTGACAATGATGTTGTTAGCAACCAGGTAGGTGTTTCATCACTCTACTTGATTTCTTGTAAGTGTGTAAGCCAGTGTTTCTCAACCTTGGCAACTTTAAGATGGGTGGACTTCAATTCCCAGAATTCCCCA